GACATCCTGTATAACTTTTATTATGTATCTCTAATTATATAAATATATTATATAAATATTATATATTCTTATGTAATATAATAAATACAAATTTGATATCAAATTATATAAATATCTTATTTTGTGTTCTTATATTTTCCTTGCAAATCAGATTTTTTTCTTGTTACTTTAAAAATTGTTCATTTTTATATTATAGCAAAGTTGTATAACTTTTTTTTTTAATGTAATAATTTATTTGAAGAAAAAATGAAAAGTCTATTATTGATGATTAAAGAAATATATTTTTCATGTATTTCAATGATAACTGCAATTTATGATCACGGACACATACAAAATATCTTTCACATGGTAAAATAGAAATCACAAGCATATGATAGTTTAATAATTTGTTTGGTCCTGGCGGCGCTGCAGATGTTGACAGACGTTTTGCTGCAGACACAAGTTAGCGGCTAGCAGTCCATGGTCATATAGTCAAAAGACGTTCGACACTCCTATTTAAAGGCTCCTTAAGGCTGAGTTCTCACTTAGCGCGTCACGCGTCGCGTGGTCCGAGTTAAGCCAATCAAATCGTCCCATTTTATTCGGCGTAAAGTTATGGCTCCTGCACACAGGACGCGGTAATGCTTGCCACGCGGCGGAAGTTCGCGCGACAGCCAATCAATATGCTGCTTTCCATAATAACCTTCTAGCTCTTACGGTAGATAACATATTGATTGGCTGTCGCGCGGATTTCCGCCGCACGGCAAGCATTACCGCGTCCTGTGTGCAGAAGCCATTACACAATAAAATGGGGCGATTTGATTGGGTGTATATCAGTTGAACACGGGGCAATTGGACACAGTCCAATCACAAGTCGCTGTTCCAAGGGACCCTACAAATGTCTCTAATCACACGGTGCTGTGATTGGCTGTGTCCAAGTGCACCACTCCCATTTGATTGACTTAACTAGGACGACGCGACACGTGACGCGCTAAGTGGGAACGCACCCTAAGGCTGAGTTCCCACTGAGTGCGTCACGCGTCGCGTCGTCTGCCTGCGTCACAAGTTAACCAATCAAATCTTCTAATTGGGATGACGTACGCACGACGCACGACGCATTTGTTCCAATGGAACGATTTAATTTGTTAACTCGTGACGCAAGCAGACGACGCGACGCGTGACGCGCTCAGTGGGAACTCACCCTAACACTTTAAAGCCCATTCTACAATTGCGTCAACATGGCTGTAAGTGGTTGTAAGTGTTAATAAGACTTTAAGACCAATTAGAGTAAAGCAATCAGTGAATAAAACATTCGGATTGGTTGACTCTTACGTCACGACTACGCTTACGCCATTGCTTAAAGCCCATTCTACAATTGCGTCAACATGGCTGTAAGTGGTTGTAAGTGTTAATAAGACTTTAAGACCAATTAGAGTAAAGCAATCAGTGAATAAAACATTCGGATTGGTTGACTCTTACGTCACGACTACGCTTACGCCATTGCTTAAAGCCCATTCTACAATTGCGTCAACATGGCTGTAAGTGGTTGTAAGTGTTAATAAGACTTTAAGACCAATTAGAGTAAAGCAATCAGTGAATAAAACATTCGGATTGGTTGACTCTTACGTCACGACTACGCTTACGCCATTGTAGAATGGGCTTTACGATCACAACTACGCTTACGCAATTGTAGAATGGGCTTTAAGCAATGGCGTAAGCGTAGTCGTGACGTAAGAGTCAACCAATCCGAATGTTTTATTCACTGATTGCTTTACTCTGATTGGTTGTCGTAATCACATACAACCACTTACAACCACGTTCACGCAATTGTAGAATGGACTTAAGAGTCAACCAATCCGAATGTTTTATTCACTGATTGCTTTACTCTAATTGGTCTTAAAGTCTTATTAACACTTACAACCACTTACAGCCATGTTGACGCAATTGTAGAATGGGCTTTAAAGTGTTAGGGTGAGTTCCCACTTAGCGCGTCACG